CTATGTAAGCAAATAGAGTAAATTCACGATCAGTCTCATTCTACATGGTGCTGCCGTGGCAGCCGGATGAGCGGGGAGGGTGGAGAGGGGTAGAGGGAAGGGGGCAAGAAAGGGGAGGCTGGAAGGGAGGGAGGGGAGAGAGAAAGAGGGAGGGAAGGGGGAGAGGAGAAAGGGAGGGAGAACATGGCGCTGCCATGCGCCGGAGAGAAGGGGTATAAGGAGGTATAACACATTCAATAGTGAGGTGGTTAATGGAGTACGTCATGCTGCTATTCCGTGGTTCCTCCCTACCCTGTGATGCGCGCGATAGCGGGCGGAGCAAACCTGGTAGACTTCACGAATTAGTAAAAAAATCCGATGGTGTAATCCATTTAAGTGGTGCTAATAGCTCTTCCTAATTTTATTCTAACTTTGATCTTTAAGTAAAAAGATAATGAAGTTTTCGGCTTTGATGAGTCCTCTTGTGATTGCTCAAACGCTTAAACGTTGAAAGCTTCTTTTGCTACCGCGCATTTTACTTCCCTCTAGTATCGGTGATGTCTTGAACGTAATTTGACCTTCGCGATAATTTCCAGAAGATAACCGGTGTGTGATTGAGTGTTCCCCTACTGAGGGGAGGGGGTGAAGAGTACTCAATCGATCCGGTGTAGAGCAGCGCCGCTTACATTGTGCACGATCCGTAGGCGAATCTCTGGGGTGCCGCTTATCAGATTACAAGAACACGTTGATGTAGACGAACACTCTTCAGACATGCTATTTTTAGGGTGGATATCGTCCTCGTCGCGTTTCAATCTCTCAGTACGAGCAGCTAAGTGCTGCAGCAGCAGAAGGTCTGAAAAGAGAGGTTCGTGTTGCACATTCTGCACTTTGTGTTGTGGTTGTATTATCTCTCTTTGTCTATCGTCCTTCTGTACGGTTGTGTTCAGAGTTCCAAGTCGTCTGGAGCAATCGGTGTGAAGGTGCCTCACCACTACCGTGCTAAAACCCCAACAACAGCTCAATCAAAGGCCGAGGTAGGTTACTTCTCTTTTTTGTAATATCATTTGAATTAACTGTAGCGTGACTTTTTCAGCATTCCGTCATCTCCCCAGCAAGCAGTATTGGGGTATCTCCTCCCCTGCGTTCGCCTCCACGTAGCTATGATACAACCTTGCCATCACCTCACACTCGGACCGTGTCGTCACCGCCGCCAGTCATTCCTTCCTCCTTCGAAACGTTCGCGCACTATATCTTCGGCGAGCTCAGGAAGGGAAAGCGTACCGATTGCCACCCCCTCTGGGTCGTCTACTCCAGTGCCGGCCACTATATACATCGCGACCTCAAACGAAAAAGTTCTGAGCTCCCCTCAACGTCTTGTATCTCCGCCGGTATGCTTTAAAAAATTCCCGCCTCGATTAATTGTTGCAGTGCAATTTGTTTGTGGTTGCTTTTTGTAATTTCCGATGAATACTGGCTTACTTTAACCCATTCGCGACCGCGCCGGTTGCGCATTAGCAGGAGAGTCAGGAGATTTTTCTTCAATAAAATTTGAGTGGATGGAGATTCCCCGTGCCCAAGGGCTGGCATAGATGAATGAGGGTATGAAGATTCTTTTCAGGAAGAAAACTTTCCAAATTCCATTTGAAACACGGCAGCCACCGGTGGATACCATTGTACAAGTGAGATCTTTGTCAGCCACCGGTGGCTGCCATTGTCACGAATGGGTTAAAGACGTGAATCTATAACTGAGGGGTTTTTTCGAGAGGAACTAAAACGGATGTGCGACTGCTGACATGCAAACTCGTATTTGCTTGGAACCCCTCTACCGCTTGTGTGTCTTGGCCTTTTTTGAGAATTAGTCAGAGATCCTAAGAATCGGATGGGTGAAAGTTAGTTCCCGGACATGACAAAATTTTACCTCAGTTAAGGAGTTACGCACATATTATACACAAATTTTGAGGCTAGAAGATTGACACGGGATAGAGGATCAGTCAAAGTTTGTGAGATTTCGATACTTTTTGTTTCTTTGCCATTGAGGTCTTCCGATTCGGGATCAAATACCGCGCTTACTCGCTTACGCGTCTCGGGTACGTAGCGAAGTGAAGGGTTGGCTCCAAACTCTGTAGTGCCTTAACATTTCATTTTTCTTTTGTCATCTGAGTAGTTTTTATTTAGCTTTTGAAGAAATTCTTGAAATTGAAATTCCAATTTCATTCAGTTCACCTTTGATAGTTTTTTTTAAAATGTATGTTTATATGCTGTTGTGCTGAGAAGAAAACCCATTACTCCAAAATGATAATTATGTTTGTTTAGATCTCTTTGGAAGAAGTTTCCAACAACTATGATCTTTCCTCGAAGCTTGTCGCAACTCCGGAACATGCTGGTCAGTACTAATATACGGGGTGATCTACCAAAAAAAGAACTTTGGCTTTCACCTTAAAAAATGATGACAAGATCGCTCCATCTTATAATGATGATGATGATGATATCAGCCACAAATTCAGAATTCGTAGCATCTATTGTGTACGAAGCGATTTCTCCAATTTTTTTTGATGGTAGATTTGTAAACTGAAATGTACTTTGCCGTGCGTTTAACCAAAAGTTCGAGTTTGTTTTTACAAGAAACAAACAGCTGGTGAATCTCAAATCTGAAAAACTTCAGTCAAGCGCATCTTTTACTTTCCTTGAAATTTGTGCTTTCAAGCGTACTTGTGTGGTCGTTTACCGCTTTGAGCCAAATATTGCAGTTGGGAATACCTTAGGTAAAGAGGTACAATGAAACAGCTGAAAAGAAGGTTCAGCTGAATACCTGAGCGGAAGTCTTTTAACTATTAAGGCTTCAACGCTTTCCCTGCCTCCCAGTGAGTATCAACATCAGAAGGTAAGTGGAGGGGGACTGGAGAGGATTGACCATGTGAGATAGTTCCTTCACCGCACTCTGTCAAAGCAATCTTTGCCTTCATTAGCTTAAACGAAAGAGATGCTTTAGATCTTTTTGGAGGTGAATATTTCTGTATCC